CTGAATAGGGAAAATAACTGAGAAGAAAGGCAAATATGCTCAGTCAGAAGACTCTTGCTACTACCTACCTAACACGAAGTTGGGCTCGAATTATGGGTTAAGCAGATATAACACCTTTAAAAATATCCAAAGATTTCGCAACCAAAATATTACGTAAATGGGTCGCTACTGGCGTCAGAAAATGGTATTTTTTCACCCATAAACTTACGAAAATTCATTTTGCGTTACACCTTCATACCAAAGTCACAACCTCTAGAAACTGACCGATTCACATAAATTACAATAAAAAGGGATTACTGATAGACAATATAGCAAAACAAGCTACGCATGAGTGAAGCTTCATTATTAAAAATTCGAATGCGAATTAGGAAAAAACAAATGAAAACACTTTTAAGTATATAAAATAATGCTTGTACATTCTCGATAAAACCTGTAAACGAAACCGTTGAGAATATTGCAAGATTGCAAATGCAACAACGTATATATGCATACATTAACACCATTTTCAAAATGATTATCATTAACATTTTGATGCTTTAGTCAATGACGTGACAACAAAAGGCAATGTCATGCTATCGATGTAACGACAAGTCGACAGAATGATGCTGTACTGAATGATGTGATACAAAAAAATTATGCTATAGTCAATGAAGTGAAGACAATATCAACAACGCCTAAGTAGCGATTGTTTTAATGAGTGAAAGAGTAACAGGAATGATTTTAAGCATTAACGCGAACGTTTCCCAGCTTCGTAGTGTTATAAGACAAGCGATGAGCAAGTCGTCCGTAATCTATTGAAGCTCCAGAATCCGAAGAGCTGGAACCTCCCGATGATTGCCTAGAACATATCGGAATGTATAGAACGTAAACAAACTTATTCAGTTGGCTACACTCCAAAGATTCAACGCGAAACTTGGTGAAGGACAGACTGCATGGAAAAGTACGAACCATTCTTAATTTATGATAAAATAACCTTTTGATCAACAATACGTATCTACCATTACCAACTCCGCTCCATTATTCTTCATCAACAGTTTTTATAAATTATCGTTAATCCATCCTTCATTTTATACCTTTCAACTTAATGATTTGGAAATGAACGCACGTATGAGCCATATATGTATTCCTGCCTCGCTCAGCATAACGATTCGCAACGTAAAGTGGTGTAGGGAGAGACGTGGGGAGATTCACGATTTGGTGCCCGTAAGTCAACAAATATGTCATTCCCTCTAGTTCATTCATGGGTAAATCGAGGTCGTCGACTAAGACGGTATATCTTGGAGTGCGAGCAGATCCCTAAATTATAAAACTTATCACACAATTCCAATACATTCACACTAACTCTACCTGTAACGTAATGTGAGAATTGAGGTAGAATTCTTTGAAAGACGGGTGCGTGAGCTCTGTATCCACAACAATGCCAGGAGGGATGTTCTGCTCCGTTGGTTTACGATAGCGATCAATCTGTAACGTTGCTAATGAGTCTGAATAATCAAAACATGAGTAAAATTATGTTTCATATTAAAAAAGGTTTGAAAAACTCACACGCTCCAGCATAAGGCGCACGTTGTGTTCTTTTTGAGCAACAATGAAGACAATCTTGATATTCTTGACACCCAAAGTAGATAGTGTACCGCGTAGAAGTGGAATTTCGTGAGTGAGAATCTGAGATATGCAAAGACTGGTCATCAACAATAACAAACAGCTTGCTGTAGAAACTCACGGTACTGAAGGAGCCTTCTGATAGCCCGCTTCTGTAAATTATAAGGTCTCGAGGGAACTTTCCATCGTGGTTCTCAGCAAACTTTGGAAAGACATTATTCACTACTTCAGACATCGTTGAAATGGTCTACAATACAAGAACGTAAACTGAATCAAAACATGAAAAATTTCTTAAGGGAACCTCTTCTCTTCTAGAGCTTTGAAACAGGTAATCTCCAACAATGTCATAGCAATTAGCTTTGAAGTTTGCAGCGTACTATAAAATAGAGATGAGCGACAAATAACTTTTTAACGTGATTCTAGTTCTACTAACGCCGATGACAGATGGAGTGCCTTTTTCAGCGTCGTAACCCATAGTGGAAGGAGGAGGATGACTCACTCCAATTCCCAAAAAGAGACGACCCGGACGAACCCAATTCCTGAGACATAAATTTTCTTCAACTTAAAAGGAAATAATTCAATGATGAGCATGTTACATTAACTGAGTGATGTCGGCTAATTCTCATCGGGATGCTTACTTGGTCTCATCCTTCGGTAATATTCCCTCTAAATCCATTTCATAGTTCAGTCCACCCAACTTTAGATTCGATTTTAGAATAATGTTCTCCAACGTAACGAAGCG